AAAAACAATTGGATGGTGGGACGGTGAGATAGGTTGATGCTGCTTTGTCTCCAACCGTCCCAAGATGGCGGGTTTTCTTGTTGCTCGTTTTGGAAAAGAACCCAAAAAGGGTACCCTCAACAGATAGTTTGCAATGCCCAGTTGGGCAACTGATGGGCACGGAAGGGGGGGGGAAAGAAAGCTTACTTGCTCTTGGAAGCATCAATGCTAGTTTTAAGAAGCTTGATGTCTTTTATTATGGGCGTGTGCCAGCTGTGGCTCAAGCCTTTGTTGCTCACTTCATTGCTCGCCAGCTTTTCGCTGTACAAGATGCGTGAGCTCGTGCACGTGCAGGGTGGACAGTGCCGTTGCTGCTATTGGTGCATTCAAGGTCTTAGTTGCCTTGCTGTGCACGGGACAAACTGTTACCTTCAAGCAGCATGGAATTTAACAAAGGGAGGTTCCTAGAGGATAATTTTCCTCTGGTACAGGTCACAGACAAACCAAGATGATAAAGACATGGCTATTTGTGTCAAAACCAGCTGAGCCCCTTCCAGTAAGTTTGTTCTTTTCGGTTTCCTTTAGAAAACCAGCGTCCGGCACTGCAGGTGCGGCAACCAGATCGGCGCAAAGTTCTGGGAGGTGATTGCGGACGAACATGGCATTGACCCCACAGGCAAGATATTTCCACATCGAGCAGTGGGAGAGTACAGTGGAACAAAGCATAACCAAAGATGGTAATTTTAGGGGTTCTGCTACCGAGTTTAGTCGGGATTATGGCGTGGCCTCTGTCAGCCTTAGCAGCCACCGTGGGTTTGAGCCAAAAGTCAGATTGGTCTTGGGAAGTGTGCGGTCAACAGGGAAGTCATCAAATCAGCCAAGGCTGTCCGCAAGCCGTCCACATATGAAATCCCGGCATGACCCTGCCAAACGGGCTGAACCAGCTTTAGAGGTCCCCTGTTTTAGCACCCCCCCCCCCCACTGGGCGCAGGCACCTACCACGGCGATTCCGACTTGCAGTTGGAGCGGACCCTCGCCTTGTGGTTGCCAACATGGTCCTTTTATGGGCGTGTCATGTTTGGAGGGTGGCTTGGGTTGTTTCGGGGTTGTTTGAAAGGGAAAGCAAAGGGACACCACTCCCATTCAGGGTTGCTCCATTTGGCGACAAACTTTGGAAGGTCTGGATTCTTCCATACTGTTTAACTATTTGGGCGGGACATGTTATTACCCCTGCAGGTCTTCAGGTCTCTCTCGCCGGATCTGTGCTTAGAATCTCACACACACACACATGCAAACACACACCACGGCAATCACTGCCAGCCCCATGTTTGTTTTTTGCCAGCCAGCTTTAGTCATGACAAAGCAAACATGCACGTGTACTATACATACGACATGCAAAGGCAACATCGCTGACTGACGCGCATGTATGCAGAAATGCATACAATATGGATCCATGTGAATGTTTGATCTCTTGGTTTCTTTTTTCCTTCAGACCTTCCTCTTGCCCCAAGCTCCTTGTGCTCCGTGCGTTTTGCAAGGATCAACGTTTACTTCAACGAGGCAACTGGCGGCCGCTATGTGCCTCGTGCCGTGCTGATGGACTTGGACGCCCGGCGCAAATGGCGGAGACAGAAACCCGAAGATTTGAGGCAATTGTCAGGAGAAGCCCCTATGATTCACATATCCTAAGCCTCCTATTTCTCCCAGCATGGACTCTGGGCTCCATAGAAATTTTCGGCAGAAGTACCCCTCGCCCAGACCATGTATTGGGTCTAGCAGCAGTGGGTTTTGGGAATATAAGGGTTGTACTTGCACACCCCAAGGGCACCGTGTTCCGTCCAACTCCCTTGGTCATGCCTTGATGACGCACACGCAGTAAAACAACACCTTGATACCGAGGAGCCGGGGACCATGGACAGCGTCCGCGCAGGGCCCTTCGGCCAGCTCTTCCGGCCGGACAACTTTGTCTTCGGACAGACCGGTGCCGGCAACAACTGGGCGAAGGCTGGTGACTTGTTCGGTTGCTGTTTGGTGAGATCTCGGCCCATTTAGCCGTTTTGGACCCCACACACCTCAACTAATATCTACGATTGGCCCGCTGGAATCAGGGCCACTATACAGAAGGGGCCGAGCTCATCGACTCAGTGCTCGACGTGGTTCGCTGCTCTGGCTATTCAGGGGGACAGGGTGAGCGGTTCGCCCAAACATTTTGTAGGCCTTTCCTTCAGCTGCTATGTTTTCGTTGGGGGGGCGCTTCACCACAACAGGGGGTTGCCCACAAGGAGAAGTATGCAGCTTTTTTGCCTGAGACACTGAGAAACCCTTTTTTGGTTGGAACATCGCGGAAGATTGCCCGCTGTCGAGCACGGTTTTGAAGGGGGTCAAAAACTAACCCATTTCATTCGTTTTTTTTGTTGGATGTGAACGAAGAAAATCCCTTGCCATTTGAACTGAATTTTGATTTGCCCACTCAAATATCCAGAGGAGTCTTTGTTAGAGGGCAGTGTGGGGACCTTCCCACAAGTAAGCGCAATCGAATTTGTGGACAACATGGTTGAGGTACGGTTGATATTGCAAGCCAACCAGTACACTCAGCAAACCAGCCACAAAGCATGGTAGATTACAGTATCAGCAATCTATGCACTATCTTCTCCTGGCAGTGGCTTGGGGTAGTGCAACGTCTGAAAGAGACGCCAAGGAAAGGAAGCTGAGGGCTGCGACTGCCTGCAGGGCTTCCAGCTGTGCCATTCCCTTGGTGGAGGCACGGGCGCGGGCATGGGCACCTTGCTGATCTCCAAGGTGCGCGAGGAGCGGACAAAACTGGAGTTAGCGCTTTTCGTTTCTGGAACTCTGGTTGCTAATTTTGGTTAAAACCCCATAGCTGATTTGATGACGGACACTGATAAGACAAATTACATTGATAATATCTGAAAGTGAGGCAAACACCCAGAAATTCACATTCTGCACAAGAAGGCCTGCCTCCAATCATGTTCCCGACAATTTAAGCTTTGTGGTTGGATATCAGATGCGTGGATACACAGTGGGGACAACCCTTGAGGAGTATCCAGACAGCTGCTTGCCTCTTTTAGTAGAATCCTTGTGATTTGGATTTGTAGCTGCAGCAAGGATGTTGATGACTTGCCAAGGAATCATGGAGACGTCTCTGTGATTCCCTCGGGCCTCAGTGTCCGACACCGTCGTGGGAGCCGTACAATGCCTGCTCAGCTTCCATCAGCTCGTGGAGAATTCGGATGAAGTCCTTCCTGCTGACAACGAGGCAGGCTCTCGCATGACCAGCGGGCTTTATGTATGGGCCAGGGCAGCAGATGGCCGGATGTTGTTCTAATTATTTTTGGGTTTTTGCATTTGCTGTCTTTGTTGCTCGCTTGGCTGACGAATGTTTGCTCCTTTCATCCTGGAAACATCTGCCAGGCCTGCACGACATTTGCTTGCAAAATGCAAGGGTTTGACAACGCCAACTTATGGCGACCTCAACCACTTGGTCTCAGCAGCCATGTCCGGGGTGACTTGTTGTTTGCGCTTCCCCCGGACAGCTGAATTGCACTGCGCAAGATTGCTGTGAATCCTAAGCCGTTCGCTGCACTTCTTCATGACCGGCTTCGCACCGCTGACCTCCCGCGGGTCGCAGCAGTACCGTGCTCTGACGGTGCCTGAGCTGACGCAGCAGATGTTTGATGCCAAGAACATGATGTGCGCGGCAGATCCTCGTCACGGGCGCTACTTGACGGCCGCAGCGCTGTTCCGCGGCCGCATGTCAACAAAGGAAGTAGATGAGCAGATGCTTAACGTGCAGAACAAGCGTCTTGGCGAGTAATTAGTAGTTGGCAATCACGAGGCTGCAGTGGTTGGTACATACGTTAATCGTATGATATCTAGCGACATTGCTTGTACGGGCATTCTGAACCATGCACAAACCCATTGGCAGGAACTCATCCTACTTTGTGGAGTGGATCCCGAACAACATCAAGGCATCGGTCTGCGACATCCCGCCGAAGGGCTTGAAGATGGCGGTCTCCTTTGCCGGGAATTCCACCGCCATCCAGGAGATGTTCAAGAGGGTTGCAGAGTACTTCACTGCCATGTTCCGCCGCAAGGCTTTCCTGCACTGGTACACCGGCGAGGGGATGGATGAGATGGAATTCACAGAGGCCGAGTCCAACATGAACGACCTGGTCTCTGAGTACCAGCAGTACCAGGATGCCACGGCGGAGGAGGAAGGTGAATTCGATGAAGAGGAGGGCGAATACGATGGCTAGAGCCACAGTGTTTCGACCGCCTTGGATTTTGCTCAGATGGGCCCGTGTTGAAAGCGTCACGGTGTCCCACTGAGCAGTTTGGTGCACTTTCAAGAAACACGCCTTGAAGGTGAACGCTGGGCAACCGAACTGCGGGGGATCAAAAAGCATTTGGATGGTGGGAAGGCGCAATAGGTTGATGCTGGTTTGTCTCCAACCGAGGACCTCCCAAGATGGCGGCGGGTTTTCTTGTTGCTCGTTTTCGAAAAGAACCCAAAAAGGGTACCCTCAACAGATAGTTTGCAATGCCCAGTTGGGCAACTGATGGGCACGGACCGGGGGGGGGAGGGAATGCTTACTTGCTCTTAGAAGCGTCAACGCTAGTTTTAAGAAGCTTGATGTCTTTTATTACGGGGCGTGTGCAAGCCGTGGCTCAAGCCTTTCTTGCTCACTTCATTGCTCGCCAGCTTTTCGCCACACAAGATGCGTGAGCTCGTGCACGTGCAGGGTGGACAGTGCCGTTGCTGCTATTGGTGCATTCAAGGTCTTAGTTGCCTTGCTGTGCACGGCGCAAACTGTTGCATACCTTCAAGCAGCATGCAATTTGTCAATAGGAGGTTTCTAGAGGATAATTTGCCTCTGGTACAGGTCACAGACAAACCAAGATGATAAAGACATGGCTATTTGTGTCAACACCATCTGAGCCCCTTCCAGTAAGTTTGTTCTTTTCGGTTTCCTTTAGAAAACCAGAGTCCGGCACTGCAGGTGCGGCAACCAGATCGGCGCAAAGTTCTGGGAGGTGATTGCGGACGAACATGGCATTGACCCCACAGGCAAAGATATTTCCACATCGAAAGCAGTGGAGAGTACAGTGGAACAAAGCATATCCAAAGATGGTAATTTTAGGGGTTCTGCTACCGAAGTTTAGCTGGGATTATGGCGGGCCTCTGTCAGCCTTAGCATCACCGTGGTTTGGAGCCAAAAGTCAGCTGTCAGATTGGTCTTGGGAAGTGTGCGGTCAACAGGGAAGTCATCAAATCAGCCAAGGCTGTCCGCAAGCCGTCCACATATGAAATCCCGGCATGACCCTGCCAAACGGGCTGAACCAGCTTTAGAGGTCCCCTGTTTTAGCAACCCCCCCCCCCACTGGGCGCAGGCACCTACCACGGCGATTCCGACTTGCAGTTGGAGCGGACCCTCGCCTTGTGGTTGCCAAAATGGTCCTTTTATGGGCGTGTCATGTTTGGAGGGTGGCTTGGGTTGTTTCGGGGTTGTTTGAAAGGGAAAGCAAAGGGACACCACTCCCATTCAGGGTTGCTCCATTTGGCGACAAACTTTGGAAGGTCTGGATTCTTCCATACTGTTTAACTATTTGGGCGGGACATGTTATTACCCCTGCAGGTCTTCAGGTCTCTCTCGCCGGATCTGTGCTTAGAATCTCACACACACACACATGCAAACACACACCACGGCAATCACTGCCAGCCCCATGTTTGTTTTTTGCCAGCCAGCTTTAGTCATGACAAAGCAAACATGCACGTGTACTATACATACGACATGCAAAGGCAACATCGCTGACTGACGCGCATGGTTTCATTTTCCTTCAGACCTTCCTCTTGCCCCAAGCTCCTTGTGCTCCGTGCGTTTTGCAAGGATCAACGTTTACTTCAACGAGGCAACTGGCGGCCGCTATGTGCCTCGTGCCGTGCTGATGGACTTGGACGCCCGGCGCAAATGGCGGAGACAGAAACCCGAAGATTTGAGGCAATTGTCAGGAGAAGCCCCTATGATTCACATATCCTAAGCCTCCTATTTCTCCCAGCATGGACTCTGGGCTCCATAGAAATTTTCGGCAGAAGTACCCCTCGCCCAGACCATGTATTGGGTCTAGCAGCAGTGGGTTTTGGGAATATAAGGGTTTGTACTTGCACACCCCAAGGGCACCGTGTTCCGTCCAACTCCCTTGGTCATGCCTTGATGACGCACACGCAGTAAAACAACACCTTGATACCGAGGAGCCGGGGACCATGGACAGCGTCCGCGCAGGGCCCTTCGGCCAGCTCTTCCGGCCGGACAACTTTGTCTTCGGACAGACCGGTGCCGGCAACAACTGGGCGAAGGCTGGTGACTTGTTCGGTTGCTGTTTGGTGAGATCTCGGCCCATTTAGCCGTTTTGGACCCCACACACCTCAACTAATATCTACGATTGGCCCGCTGGAATCAGGGCCACTATACAGAAGGGGCCGAGCTCATCGACTCAGTGCTCGACGTGGTTCGCTGCTCTGGCTATTCAGGGGGACAGGGTGAGCGGTTCGCCCAAACATTTTGTAGGCCTTTCCTTCAGCTGCTATGTTTTCGTTGGGGGGGCGCTTCACCACAACAGGGGGTTGCCCACAAGGAGAAGTATGCAGCTTTTTTGCCTGAGACACTGAGACACCCTTTTTTGGTTGGAACGTCGCGGAAGATTTCCCGCTGACTAGCACGGTTTTTAAGGGGGTCAAAAACCCACTCATTTTACTAGTTTGTTTGATGTGAACGAAAAAAAACAAAAAACAACCTTGCGCGGAAGATATCCCGCTGACTAGCACGGTTTTTACGGGGGTCAAAAGCCAACTCCTTTTATTAGTTTTTTTGATGTGAACGAAAAAAAAAAGAACACCTTGCCATTTGAACAGTATTTTTTTGATTTACCCACTCAAATATCCAGAGCAGTCTTTGTTAGCGGGCAGTGTTGGGACCTTCCCACAAGTAGGCAAAATCGAATTTGTGGACAACATGTTTGAGGCACGGTTGATATTGCAAGCCAACCAGTACACTCAGCAAACCAGCCACAAAACATGGTAGATTGCAGGGTCATGGCAGTGGTTTGGGGTAGTGCAACGTCTTGAAAGAGACGCCAAGGAAAGGAGGCCGAGGGCTGCGACTGCCTGCAGGGCTTCCAGCTGTGCCATTCCCTTGGTGGAGGCACGGGCGCGGGCATGGGCACCTTGCTGATCTCCAAGGTGCGCGAGGAGCGGACAAAACTGGAGTTAGCGCTTTTCGTTTCTGGAACTCTGGTTGCTAATTTTGGTTAAAACCCCATAGCTGATTTGATGACGGACACTGATAAGACAAATTACATTGATAATATCTGAAAGTGAGGCAAACACCCAGAAATTCACATTCTGCACAAGAAGGCCTGCCTCCAATCATGTTCCCGACAATTTACTGTAAGCTTTGTGGTTGGATATCAGATGCGTGGATACACAATGGGGACAACCCTTGAGGAGTATCCAGACAGCTGCTTGCCTCTTTTAGTAGAATCCTTGTGATTTGGATTTGTAGCTGCAGCAAGGATGTTGATGACTTGCCAAGGAATCATGGAGACGTTCTCTGTGATTCCCTCGCCCAAAGTGTCCGACACCGTCGTGGAGCCGTACAATGCCGTGCTCAGCTTCCATCAGCTCGTGGAGAATTCGGATGAGTCCTTCCTGCTGGACAACGAGGCAGGCTCTCGCATGACCAGCGGGCTTTTATGTATGGGCTAGGCAGCAGATGGCCGGATGTTGTTCCAATTCTTTTGGGTTTTTGCATTTGCAGTCTTTGTTGCTCGTTTGCCACGAATGTTTGCCCTTTTCATCCTGGAAATTCCTGGAAGGCGTTGTACGACATTTGCTTCCGCACGCTGAAGCTGACAACGCCAACTTATGGCGACCTGAACCACTTGGTATCAGCAGCCATGTCCGGGGTGACTTGTTGTTTGCGCTTCCCCGGACAGCTGAATTGCGACTTGCGCAAGATTGCTGTGAACTTGGTGCCGTTCCCGCGGCTGCACTTCTTCATGACCGGCTTCGCACCGCTGACCTCCCGCGGGTCGCAGCAGTACCGTGCTCTGACGGTGCCTGAGCTGACGCAGCAGATGTTTGATGCCAAGAACATGATGTGCGCGGCAGATCCTCGTCACGGGCGCTACTTGACGGCCGCAGCGCTGTTCCGCGGCCGCATGTCAACAAAGGAAGTAGATGAGCAGATGCTCAACGTGCAGAACAAGCGCCTTGGGGAGGAATTTGTAATTCTAAGCTTTGATCAACCAGTGGTTGGTACATACGTTAATCGTATGATATCTAGCTTATTACTGCTTGTGCGGCATTCTGAACCATGCACAAACCTACTGGCAGGAACCTGCCCCTACTTTGTGGAGTGGATCCCGAACAACATCAAGGCATCGGTCTGCGACATCCCGCCGAAGGGCTTGAAGATGGCGGTCTCCTTTGCCGGGAATTCCACCGCCATCCAGGAGATGTTCAAGAGGGTTGCGGAGTACTTCACTGCCATGTTCCGCCGCAAGGCTTTCCTGCACTGGTACACCGGCGAGGGGATGGATGAGATGGAATTCACAGAGGCCGAGTCCAACATGAACGACCTGGTCTCTGAGTACCAGCAGTACCAGGATGCCACGGCGGAGGAGGAAGGTGAATTCGATGAAGAGGAGGGCGAATACGATGGCTAGAGCCACAGTGTTTCGACCGCCTTGGATTTTGCTCAGATGGGCCCGTGTTGAAAGCGTCACGGTGTCCCACTGAGCAAAATCGCCGAGGCTTGGAAGCTTGGGACGAGACCTGCCAGCTGGGCACCGAACGTGGGGCACAACGCGTCCAGGAATTGCTGCATGCACCTGAGAATTGAAAAATGACACTGGAACCACTTCTTACAACAAGAGGGAGCTCCGCATGTGAGCCCCAGGCAAGGGTACCCTCAAAAGATAGTTTGCAATGCCCAGTTGGGCAACTGATGGACACGGACCGGGGGGGGGGGAGGGAATGCTTACTTGCCTTAGAAGCATCAATGCTAGTTTTAAGAAGCTTGATGTCTTTTATTACGGGGCGTGTGCAAGCCGTGGCTCAAGCCTTTCTTGCTCACTTCATTGCTCGCCAGCTTTTCGCCACACAAGATGCGTGAGCTCGTGCACGTGCAGGGTGGACAGTGCCGTTGCTGCTATTGGTGCATTCAAGGTCTTAGTTGCCTTGCTGTGCACGGCGCAAACTATTGCATACCTTCAAGCAGCATGCAATTTGTCAAGAGGAGGTTTCTAGAGGATAGGATAATTTGCCTCTGGTACAGGTCACAGACAAACCAAGATGATAAAGACATGGCTATTTGTGTCAAAATCATCTGAGCCCCTTCCAGTAAGTTTGTTCTTTTCGGTTTCCTTTAGAAAACCAGAGTCCGGCACTGCAGGTGCGGCAACCAGATCGGCGCAAAGTTCTGGGAGGTGATTGCGGACGAACATGTGGCATTGACCCCACAGGCAAAGATATTTCCACATCGAGCAGTGTGGAGAGTACAGGAAATAAAGCATATCCAAAGATGGTAATTTTAGGGGTTCTGCTACCGAAGCTGAAGTCGGGATTATGTATATGTACCTCTGTCAGCCTTAGCAGCCACCGGGTTTGAGCCAAAGTCAGATTGGTCTGGGAAGTGTGCGGTCAACAGGGAAGTCATCAAATCAGCCAAGGCTGTCCGCAAGCCGTCCACATATGAAATCCCGGCATGACCCTGCCAAACGGGCTGAACCAGCTTTAGAGGTCCCCTGCTTTAGCACACCCCCCCCCCACTGGGCGCAGGCACCTACCACGGCGATTCCGACTTGCAGTTGGAGCGGACCCTCGCCTTGTGGTTGCCGAAGTGCTTGTGGAATGGTCCTTTTATGGGCGTGTCATGTTTGGAGGGTGGCTTGGGTTGTTTCGGGGTGGTTTGAAAGCGAAAGCAAAGGGACACCACTCCCATTCAGGGTTGCTCCATTTGGCGACAAACTTTGGAAGGTCTGGATTCTTCCATACCGTTTAACTATTTGGGCGGGACATGTTATTACCCCTGCAGGTCTTCAGGTCTCTCTCGCCGGATCTGTGCTTAGAATCTCACACACACACACATGCAAACACACACCACGGCAATCACTGCCAGCCCCATGTTTGTTTTTTGCCAGCCAGCTTTAGTCATGGCAAAGCAAACATGCACGTGTACTATACATACGACATGCAAAGGCAACATGGCTGACTGACGCGCATGAATACATAAATGCATACAATATGGATCCATGTGAATGTTTGATCTCTTGGTTTCTTTTTCCTTCAGACCTTCCTCTTGCCCCAAGCTCCTTGTGCTCCGTGCGTTTTGCAAGGATCAACGTTTACTTCAACGAGGCAACTGGCGGCCGCTATGTGCCTCGTGCCGTGCTGATGGACTTGGACGCCCGGCGCAAATGACGGAGACACAAACCCGAAGATTTGAGGCAATTGTCAGGAGAAGCCCCTATGATTCACATACCCTCAGCCTCCTATTTCTCCCAGAATGGACTCTGGGCTCCATAGAAATTTTCGGCAGAAGTACCCCTCGCCCAGACCATGTATTGGGTCTAGCAGCGGTGGGTTTTGGGAATATAAGGGTTTGTACTTGCACACCCCAAGGGCACCGTGTTCCGTCCAACTCCCTTGGTCATGCCTTGATGACGCACACGCAGTAAAACAACACCTTGATACCGAGGAGCCGGGGACCATGGACAGCGTCCGTGCAGGGCCCTTCGGCCAGCTCTTCCGGCCGGACAACTTTGTCTTCGGACAGACCGGTGCCGGCAACAACTGGGCGAAGGCTGGTGACTTGTTCGGTTACTGTTTGGTTAGAGCTCGGCCCATTTAGCCGTTTTGGACCCCAAACACCTCAACTAATATCTACAATTGGCCCGCTGGAATCAGGGCCACTATACAGAAGGGGCCGAGCTCATCGACTCAGTGCTCGACGTGGTTCGCTGCTCTGGCTATTCAGGGGGACAGGGTGAGCGGTTCGCCCAAACATTTTGTAGGCCTTTCCTTCAGCTGCCATGTTTTCGTTGGGGGGGGGCTTCACCACAACAGGGGGTTGCCCACAAGGAGAAGTATGCAGCTTTTTTGCCTGAGACACTGAGACACCCTTTTTGGGTTGGAACGTCGCGGAATATTTCCCGCTGACTAGCACGGTTTTTAAGGGGGTCAAAAACCAACTCATTTTATGATTTTTTTTCCGAAACAAAAAAGATCACCTTGCCATTTGAACAGTATTTTGATTTACCCACTCAAATATCCAGAGCAGTCTTTGTTAGCGGGCAGTGTTGGGACCTTCCCACAAGTAGGCCCAGTAGGAAAAATCGAATTTGTGGACAACATGTTTGAGGCACGGTTGATATTGCAAGCCAACCAGTACACTCAGCAAACCAGCCACAAAACATGGTAGATTGCAGGGTCATGGCAGTGGTTTGGGGTAGTGCAACGTCTTGAAAGAGACGCCAAGGAAAAGAGGCCGAGGGCTGCGACTGCCTGCAGGGCTTCCAGCTATGCCATTCCCTTGGTGGAGGCACGGGCGCGGGCATGGGCACCTTGCTGATCTCCAAGGTTCGCGAGGAGCGGACAAAACTGGAGTTAGCGTTTTTCGTTTCTGGAACTCTGGTTGCCGATTTCAATTGACATTGATTGCCTCCAATCATGTTCCCGACAATTTAAGCTTTGTGGTTGGATATCAGATGCGTGGATACACAGTGGGGCCAACCCCTGAGGAGTATCCAGACAGCTGCTTGCCTCTTTTAGTAGAACCCTTGTGATTTGGATTTGTAGCTGCAGCAAGGATGTTGATGACGGGCCAAGGAATCATGGAGACGTTCTCTGTGATTCCCTCGCCCAAAGTGTCCGACACCGTCGTGGAGCCGTACAATGCCGTGCTCAGCTTCCATCAGCTGGTGGAGAATTCGGATGAGTCCTTCCTGCTGGACAATGAGGCAGGCTCTCGCATGACCAGCGGGCTTTTGTGCATGGGCTAGGCAGCAGATGGCCGGATGTTGTTCTAATTCTGTTGGGTTTTTGCTTTTGCTTTGTTTGTTGCTTGTTTGCCATGATTGTTTGCCCATTTCATCCTGGAAATTCCTGGAAGGCCTTGTACGACATTTGCTTCCGCACGCTGAAGCTGACAACGCCAACTTATGGCGACCTGAACCACTTGGTATCAGCAGCCATGTCCGGGGTGACTTGTTGCTTGCGCTTCCCCGGACAGCTGAACTGCGACCTGCGCAAGATTGCCGTGAACTTGGTGCCGTTCCCGCGGCTGCACTTCTTCATGACCGGCTTCGCACCGCTGACCTCCCGCGGGTCGCAGCAGTACCGTGCTCTGACGGTGCCTGAGCTGACTCAGCAGATGTTTGATGCCAAGAACATGATGTGCGCGGCAGATCCCCGTCACGGGCGCTACTTGACGGCCGCAGCGCTGTTCCGGGGCCGCATGTCAACAAAGGAAGTAGATGAGCAGATGCTGAACGTGCAGAACAAGCGTCTTGGCGAGTAATTAGTAATTGGCAATCACGAGGCTGCAGTGGTTGGTACATACGTTACTCGTATGATATCTAGCGACATTGCTTGTACGGGCATTCTGAACCATGCACAAACCCATTGGCAGGAACTCGTCCTACTTTGTGGAGTGGATCCCGAACAACATCAAGGCATCGGTCTGCGACATCCCGCCGAAGGGCTTGAAGATGGCGGTCTCCTTTGCCGGGAATTCCACCGCCATCCAGGAGATGTTCAAGAGGGTTGCGGAGTACTTCACTGCCATGTTCCGCCGCAAGGCTTTCCTGCACTGGTACACCGGCGAGGGGATGGATGAGATGGAATTCACAGAGGCCGAGTCCAACATGAACGACCTGGTCTCTGAGTACCAGCAGTACCAGGATGCCACGGCGGAGGAGGAAGGTGAATTCGATGAAGAGGAGGGCGAATACGATGGCTAGAGCCACAGTGTTTCAACCGCCTTGGATTTTGCTCAGATGGGCCCGTGTTGAAAGCGTCACGGCCACTGAGCAGGTTGGTGCACTTTCAAGAAACACGCCTTGAAGGTGAACGCTGGGCAACTGAACTGCGGGGGATCAAAAAGCATTTGGATGGTGGGAAGGCGAGATAGGTTGATGCTGCTTTGTCTCCAACCGAGGACCTCCCAAGATGGCGGGTTTTCTTGTTGCTCGTTTTCGAAAAGAACCCACAAAGGGTACCCTCAAAAGATAGTTTGCAATGCCCAGTTGGGCAACCGATGGGCACAGAGGGGGGGGAGGGAATGCTCTTAGAAGCATCAATGCTAGTTTTAAGAAGCTTTGATTTTTGGTTACGGGCGTGTGCAAGCCGTGGCTCAAGCCTTTGTTGCTCACTTCATTGCTCGCCAGCTTTTCGCTGTACAAGATGCGTGAGCTCGTGCACTTTGTTGCTCACTTCATTGCTCGCCAGCTTTTCGCTGTACAAGATGCGTGAGCTCGTGCACGTGCAGGGTGGACAGTGCCGTTGCTGCTATTGGTGCATTCAAGGTCTTAGTTGCCTTGCTGTGCACGGGACAAACTGTTACCTTCAAGCAGCATGGAATTTAACAAAGGGAGGTTCCTAGAGGATAATTTTCCTCTGGTACAGGTCACAGACAAACCAAGATGATAAAGACATGGCTATTTGTGTCAAAACCATCTGAGCCCCTTCCAGTAAGTTTGTTCTTTTCGGTTTCCTTTAGAAAACCAGCGTCCGGCACTGCAGGTGCGGCAACCAGATCGGCGCAAAGTTCTGGGAGGTGATTGCGGACGAACATGGCATTGACCCCACAGGCAAAGATATTTCCACATCGAGCAGTGGGAGGGTACAGTGGAACAAAGCATAGCCAAAGATGGTAATTTTAGGGGTTCTGCTACCGAGTTTAGTCGGGATTATGGCGTGGCCTCTGTCAGCCTTAGCAGCCACCGTGGGTTTGAGCCAAAAGTCAGATTGGTCTTGGGAAGTGTGCGGTCAACAGGGAAGTCATCAAATCAGCCAAGGCTGTCCGCAAGCCGTCCACATATGAAATCCCGGCATGACCCTGCCAAACGGGCTGAACCAGCTTTAGAGGTCCCCTGTTTTAGCACCCCCCCCCCCACTGGGCGCAGGCACCTACCACGGCGATTCCGACTTGCAGTTGGAGCGGACCCTCGCCTTGTGGTTGCCAAAATGGTCCTTTTATGGGCGTGTCATGTTTGGAGGGTGGCTTGGGTTGTTTCGGGGTTGTTTGAAAGGGAAAGCAGAGGGACACCACTCCCATTCAGGGTTGCTCCATTTGGCGACAAACTTTGGAAGGTCTGGATTCTTCCATAGCGTTTAACAATTTAGGCGGGACATGTTATTACCCCTGCAGGTCTTCAGGTCTCTCTCGCCGGATCTGTGCTTAGAATCTCACACACACACACACACACATGCAAACACACACCACGGCAATCACTGCCAGCCCCATGTTTGTTTTTGCCAGCCAGCTTTAGTCATGACAAAGCAAACATGCACGTGTACTATACATACGACATGCAAAGGCAACATCGCTGACTGACGCGCATGTATACAGAAATGCATACAATATGGATCCATGTGAATGTTTGATCTCTTGGTTTCTTTTTTCCTTCAGACCTTCCTCTTGCCCCAAGCTCCTTGTGCTCCGTGCGTTTTGCAAGGATCAACGTTTACTTCAACGAGGCAACTGGCGGCCGCTATGTGCCTCGTGCCGTGCTGATGGACTTGGACGCCCGGCGCAAATGGCGGAGACAGAAACCCGAAGATTTGAGGCAATTGTCAGGAGAAGCCCCTATGATTCACATATCCTAAGCCTCCTATTTCTCCCAGCATGGACTCTGGGCTCCATATAAATTTTCGGCAGAAGTACCCCTCGCCCAGACCATGTATTGGGTCTAGCAGCAGTGGGTTTTGGGAATATAAGGGTTTGTACTTGCACACCCCAAGGGCACCGTGTTCCGTCCAACTCAACTGGGCGAAGGCTGGTGACTTGTTCGGTTGCTGTTTTGTTAGAGCTCGGCCCATTTAGCCGTTTTGGACCCCACACACCTCAACTAATATCTACGTTTGGCCCGCTGGAATCAGGGCCACTATACAGAAGGGGCCGAGCTCATCGACTCAGTGCTCGACGTGGTTCGCTGCTCTGGCTATTCAGGGGGACAGGGTGAGCGGTTCGCCCAAACATTTTGTAGGCCTTTCCTTCAGCTGCCATGTTTTCGTTGGGGGGGGGCTTCACCACAACAGGGGGTTGCCCACAAGGAGAAGTATGCAGCTTTTTTGCCTGAGACACTGAGAAACCCTTTTTGGGTTGGAACGTCGCGGAAGATTTCCCGCTGACTAGCACGGTTTTTAAAGGTCAAAAACCAACCCATTTTATTCGTTTTTGTTTTTTTTGATGTGAACGAAGAAAACCCCTTGCCATTTGAACTGAATTTTGATTTGCCCACTCAAATATCCAGAGGAGTCTTTGTTAGAGGGCAGTGTGGGGACCTTCCCACAAGTAAGCGCAATCAAATTTTTGGACAACATGGTTGAGGTACGGTTGATATTGCAAGCCAACCAGTACACTCAGCAAACCAGCCACAAAACATGGTAGATTACAGTATCAGCAATCTATACCCTATCTTCTCCTGGCAGTGGCTTGGGGTAGTGCAACGTCTGAAAGAAACGCCAAGGGGCGGTAGCCGAGCTCACACACACCCGCTGCAGGTCTTCCAAAAAAATTGCCATAACCCTTTGTGGAGGAACGGGCGCGGGGAGTCCATGGGCACCTAGCTCATCGACGTCCAAGGTTGCGCGAGGAGGGACGAAACCTGGATTTTAGCGCATTTCGTTTCTGGAACGTCTGGTTGCTAATTTAGGTTACAGCCATGTCGTTAGGCTGGGGGAAAAGTTATGCAACGTACACTGATAAGACAAATTACAATGAAAAAGAATCTGAAAGGAGCAAACACACAGAAATTCACATTACTGCACGAAGAAGGCCTCCTCCAATCATGTTGCCCGACCATTAAAGGCTTTGTGGTTGGATATCAGATGCGTGGATACACAGTGGGGACAACCCTTGAGGAGTATCCAGACAGCTGCTTGCCTCTTTTAGTAGAACCCTTGTGATTTGGATTTGTAGCTGCAGCAAGGATGTTGATGACTGGCCAAGGAATCATGGAGACGTTCTCTGTGATTCCCTCGCCCAAAGTGTCCGACACCGTCGTGGAGCCGTACAATGCCGTGCTCAGCTTCCATCAGCTCGTGGAGAATTCGGATGAGTCCTTCCTGCTGGACAACGAGGCAGGCTCTCGCATGACCAGCGGGCTTTTATGTATGGGCTAGGCAGCAGATGGCCGGATGTTGTTCTAATTCTTTTGGGTTTTTGCATTTGCTGTCTTTGTTGCTCGTTTGCCACGCAAGTTTGCCCTTTTCATCCTGGAAATGTCTGGAAGGCCTTGTACGACATTTGCTTCCGCACGCTGAAGCTGACAACGCCAACTTATGGCGACCTCAACCACTTGGTCTCAGCAGCCATGTCCGGGGTGACTTGTTGTTTGCGCTTCCCCGGACAGCTGAATTGCGACCTGCGCAAGATTGCTGTGAACTTGGTGCCGTTCCCGCGGCTGCACTTCTTCATGACCGGCTTCGCACCGCTGACCTCCCGCGGGTCGCAGCAGTACCGTGCTCTGACGGTGCCTGAGCTGACGCAGCAGATGTTTGATGCCAAGAACATGATGTGCGCGGCAGATCCTCGTCACGGGCGCTACTTGACGGCCGCAGCGCTGTGCCGGGCCCGCATGTCTCAACAAAGAAGTAGATGACAGATGCTGAACGGGCAGAACAAGCGTCTTTGCGAGTAATTTAGTAGTTGGCAATCAGCGAGGCGCAGTGGTTGTGGTACATAACTTAATTGTATGATATCGTACCAGTGGTTGGTACATACGTTAATCGTATGATATCTAGCGACATTGCTTGTACGGGCATTCTGAACCATGCACAAACCCATTGGCAGGAACTCGTCCTACTTTGTGGAGTGGATCCCGAACAACATCAAGGCATCGGTCTGCGACATCCCGCCGAAGGGCTTGAAGATGGCGGTCTCCTTTGCCGGGAATTCCACCGCCATCCAGGAGATGTTCAAGAGGGTTGCGGAGTACTTCACTGCCATGTTCCGCCGCAAGGCTTTCCTGCACTGGTACACCGGCGAGGGGATGGATGAGATGGAATTCACAGAGGCCGAGTCCAACATGAACGACCTGGTCTCTGAGTACCAGCAGTACCAGGATGCCACGGCGGAGGAGGAAGGTGAATTCGATGAAGAGGAAGGCGAATACGATGGCTAGAGCCACAGTGTTTCAACCGCCTTGGATTTTGCTCAGATGGGCCCGTGTTGAAAGCGTCACGGGGTCCCACTGAGCAGGTTGGTGCACTTTCAAGAAACACGCCTTGAAGGTGAACGCTGGGCAACTGAACTGCGGGGGATCAAAAAGCATTTGGATGGTGGGAAGGCGAGATAGGTTGATGCTGCTTTGTCTCCAACCGAGGACCTCCCAAGATGGCGCGTTTTCTTCTCATTTTTCGAAAAGAACCCACAAAGGGTACCCTCAAAAGATAGTTTGCAAGGCCCAGTTGGGCAACCGATGGGCACAGAGGGGGGGGAGGGAATGCTCTTAGAAGCATCAATGCTAGTTTTAAGAAGCTTTGATTTTTGGTTACGGGCGTGTGCAAGCCGTGGCTCAAGCCTTTGTTGCTCACTTCATTGCTCGCCAGCTTTTCGCTGTACAAGATGCGTGAGCTCGTGCACGTGCAGGGTGGACAGTGCCGTTGCTGCTATTGGTGCATTCAAGGTCTTAGTTGCCTTGCTGTGCACGGGACAAACTGTTACCTTCAAGCAGCATGGAATTTAACAAAGGGAGGTTCCTAGAGGATAATTTTCCTCTGGTACAGGTCACAGACAAACCAAGATGATAAAGACATGGCTATTTGTGTCAAAACCATCGGAGCCCCTTCCAGTAAGTTTGTTCTTTTCGGTTTCCTTTAGAAAACCAGAGTCCGGCACTGCAGGTGCGGCAACCAGATCGGCGCAAAGTTCTGGGAGGTGATTGCGGACGAACATGGCATTGACCCCACAGGCAAAGATATTTCCACATCGAGCAGTGGGAGGGTACAGTGGAACAAAGCATAGCCAAAGATGGTAATTTTAGGGGTTCTGCTACCGAGTTTAGTCGGGATTATGGCGTGGCCTCTGTCAGCCTTAGCAGCCACCGTGGGTTTGAGCCAAAAGTCAGATTGGTCTTGGGAAGTGTGCGGTCAACAGGGAAGTCATCAAATCAGCCAAGGCTGTCCGCAAGCCGTCCACATATGAAATCCCGGCATGACCCTGCCAAACGGGCTGAACCAGCTTTAGAGGTCCCCTGTTTTAGCAACCCCCCCCCCCCACTGGGCGCAGGCACCTACCACGGCGATTCCGACTTGCAGTTGGAGCGGACCCTCGCCTTGTGGTTGCCAAAATGGTCCTTTTATGGGCGTGTCATGTTTGGAGGGTGGCTTGGGTTGTTTCGGGGTTGTTTGAAAGGGAAAGCAAAGGGACACCACTCCCATTCAGGGTTGCTCCATTTGGCGACAAACTTTGGAAGGTCTGGATTCTTCCATACCGTTTAACTATTTGGGCGGGACATGTTATTACCCCTGCAGGTCTTCAGGTCTCTCTCGCCGGATCTGTGCTTAGAATCTCACACACACACACATGCAAACACACACCACGGCAATCACTGCCAGCCCCATGTTTGTTTTTTGCCAGCCAGCTTTAGTCATGACAAAGCAAACATGCACGTGTACTATACATACGACATGCAAAGGCAACATCGCTGACTGACGCGCATGTATACAGAAATGCATACAATATGGATCCATATGAATGTTTGATCTATTGGTTTCGTTTTTTCTTCAGACCTTCCTCTTGCCCCAAGCTCCTTGTGCTCCGTGCGTTTTGCAAGGATCAACGTTTACTTCAACGAGGCAACTGGCGGCCGCTATGTGCCTCGTGCCGTGCTGATGGACTTGGACGCCCGGCGCAAATGGCGGAGACAGAAACCCGAAGATTTGAGGCAATTGTCAGGAGAAGCCCCTATGATTCACATATCCTAAGCCTCCTATTTCTCCCAGCATGGACTCTGGGCTCCATAGAAATTTTCGGCAGAAGTACCCCTCGCCCAGACCATGTATTGGGTCTAGCAGCGGTGGGTTTTGGGAATATAAGGGTTTGTACTTGCACACCCCAAGGGCACCGTGTTCCGTCCAACTCCCTTGGTCATGCCTTGATGACGCACACGCAGTAAAACAACACCTTGATACCGAGGAGCCGGGGACCATGGACAGCGTCCGCGCAGGGCCCTTCGGCCAGCTCTTCCGGCCGGACAACTTTGTCTTCGGACAGACCGGTGCCGGCAACAACTGGGCGAAGGCTGGTGACTTGTTCGGTTGCTGTTTGGTTAGAGCTCGGCCCATTTAGCCGTTTTGGACCCCACACACCTCAACTAGTATCTACGATTGGCCCGCTGGAATCAGGGCCACTATACAGAAGGGGCCGAGCTCATCGACTCAGTGCTCGACGTGGTTCGCTGCTCTGGCTATTCAGGGGGACAGGGTGAGCGGTTCGCCCAAACATTTTGTAGGCCTTTCCTTCAGCTGCCATGTTTTCGTTGGGGGGGGGGCTTCACCACAACAGGGGGTTGCCCACAAGGAGAAGTATGCAGCTTTTTTGCCTGAGACACTGAGAAACCCTTTTTGGGTTGGAACGTCGCGGAAGATTGCCCGCTGACTAGCACGGTTTTTAAGGGGGTCAAAAACCAACCCATTTTATTCGTTTTTGTTTTTTTGATGTGAACGAAGAAAATCCCTTGCCATTTGAACTGAATTTTGATTTGCCCACTCAAATATCCAGAGGAGTCTTTGTTAGAGGGCAGTGTGGGGACCTTCCCACAAGTAAGCGCAATCGAATTTGTGGACAACATGGTTGAGGTACGGTTGATATTGCAAGCCAACCAGTACACTCAGCAAACCAGCCACAAAGCATGGTAGATTACAGTATCAGCAATCTATGCACTATCTTCTCCTGGCAGTGGCTTGGGGTAGTGCAACGTCTGAAAGAGACGCCAAGGAAAGGAGGCCGAGGGCTGCGACTGCCTGCAGGGCTTCCAGCTGTGCCATTCCCTTGGTGGAGGAACGGGCGCGGGCATGGGCACCTTGCTCATCTCCAAGGTGCGCGAGGAGCGGACGAAACTGGAGTTCGCGCTTTTCGTTTCTGGAACTCTGGTTGCTAATTTTGGTTAAGACGTCATAGCTGAGATAAGACAAATTACATTGATAATATTTGAAAGTGAGGCAAACACCCAGAAATTCACATTCTGCACAAGAAGGCCTGCCTCCAATCATGTTCCCGACAATTTAAGCTTTGTGGTTGGATATCAGATGCGTGGATACACAGTGGGGACAACCCTTGAGGAGTATCCAGACAGCTGCTTGCCTCTTTTAGTAGAACCCTTGTGATTTGGATTTGTAGCTGCAGCAAGGATGTTGATGACTGGCCAAGGAATCATGGAGACGTTCTCTGTGATTCCCTCGCCCAAAGTGTCCGACACCGTCGTGGAGCCGTACAATGCCGTGCTCAGCTTCCATCAGCTCGTGGAGAATTCGGATGAGTCCTTCCTGCTGGACAACGAGGCAGGCTCTCGCATGACCAGCGGGCTTTTATGTATGGGCTAGGCAGCAGATGGCCGGATGTTGTTCTAATTCTTTTGGGTTTTTGCATTTGCTGTCTTTGTTGCTCGTTTGCCACGCAAGTTTGCCCTTTTCATCCTGGAAATGTCTGGAAGGCCTTGTACGACATTTGCTTCCGCACGCTGAAGCTGACAACGCCAACTTATGGCGACCTCAACCACTTGGTCTCAGCAGCCATGTCCGGGGTGACTTGTTGTTTGCGCTTCCCCGGACAGCTGAATTGCGACCTGCGCAAGATTGCTGTGAACTTGGTGCCGTTCCCGCGGCTGCACTTCTTCATGACCGGCTTCGCACCGCTGACCTCCCGCGGGTCGCAGCAGTACCGTGCTCTGACGGTGCCTGAGCTGACGCAGCAGATGTTTGATGCCAAGAACATGATGTGCGCGGCAGATCCTCGTCACGGGCGCTACTTGACGGCCGCAGCGCTGTTCCGCGGCCGCATGTCAACAAAGGAAGTAGATGAGCAGATGCTTAACGTGCAGAACAAGCGTCTTGGCGAGTAATTAGTAGTTGGCAATCACGAGGCTGCAGTGGTTGGTACATACGTTAATCGTATGATATCTAGCGACATTGCTTGTACGGGCATTCTGAACCATGCACAAACCCATTGGCAGGAACTCATCCTACTTTGTGGAGTGGATCCCGAACAACATCAAGGCATCGGTCTGCGACATCCCGCCGAAGGGCTTGAAGATGGCGGTCTCCTTTGCCGGGAATTCCACCGCCATCCAGGAGATGTTCAAGAGGGTTGCGGAGTACTTCACCGCTATGTTCCGCCGCAAGGCATTCCTGCACTGGTACACCGGCGAGGGAATGGATGAGATGGAATTCACGGAGGCCGAGTCCAACATGAACGACCTGGTCTCTGAGTACCAGCAGTACCAGGATGCCACGGCGGAGGAGGAAGGTGAATTCGATGAAGAGGAGGGCGAATACGATGGCTAGAGCCACAGTGTTTCGACCGCCTTGGATTTTGCTCAGATGGGCCCGTGTTGAAAGCGTCACGGTGTCCCACTGAGCAGTTTGGTGCACTTTCAAGAAACACGCCTTGAAGGTGAACGCTGGGCAACTGAACTGCGGGGGATCAAAAAACGTTTGGATGGTGGGAAGGCGAGATAGGTTGATGCTGGTTTGTCTCCAACCGAGGACCTCCCAAGATGGGGTTTTCTTGTTGCTCGTTTTTGAAAAGAACCCAAGATGGTTTGCAATGCCCAGTTGGGCAACCGATGGGCACGGAAGGGGGGGGAAAGAAAGCTTACTTGCACTTAGAAGCATCAATGCTAGTTTTAAGAAGCTTGATGTCTTTTATTATGGGCGTTGGCAAGCTGTGGCTCAAGCCTTTGTTGCTCACTTCATTGCTCGCCAGCTTTTCGCTACACAAGATGCGTGAGCTCGTGCACGTGCAGGGTGGACAGTGCCGTCGCTGCTATTGGTGCATTCAATGTCTTAGTTGCCTTGCTGTGCACGGGACACACTGCTGCATATCTTCAAGCAGCATGGAATTTAGCAAAAGCAGGTTCGTGCAGGTTACAGACAAATCAAGATGTATGGACATGGCTATTTGTGTCAAAGCCATCTGATCCGCTTCCAGCAAGTTTGTCGTGTTCGGTTTCCTTTCGAAAGCCAGCATCCGGCACTGCAGGTGCGGCAACCAGATCGGCGCAAAGTTCTGGGAGGTGATTGCGGACGAACATGGCATTGACCCGACAGGCAAAGATATGTCCACATCGAGCAGTGGGAGGGTACAGTGGAACAAAGCATAGCCAAAGATGGTAGTTTAGTGGGGATGGCCCGGCGTGGGTTGGAGCCAAAGTCAGCTCGGTCTTGGGGGACCCTGCTGCTCACGAGTGCGCAAATCAACAAAGCTTCGGAGTTCCAAGGCGGCTGGGGCGGCACCCTGAAATAGAAACCACAATCATGAGCCGGCCGAACGGGCTGAGACTTTGCCATGCCACATGTGGGATCGCCTCTCGCAGTCGCGGCCGCAGGCACCTACCACGGCGATTCTGACTTGCAGTTGGAGCGGACCCTCGCCCAGTTGTCAAAGTGCTTGTGGAAGGGGCGTCCAGCTAAAAGTCCTTCTATGGGCGTGTCATTTTTTGAGGGTACCTGTCTTGGGGTTGTTTTAAAGGGAAAGCAAAGGGACACCACCCATTTCGGGGTTACTCCATTTGGCCACCAATCGATAATTCCCATTTTGGAAGGTGCTTATGGATTCTTCCATACCGTTTAAATCTCTGGGCGGGACATTGATACCCTTGTAGGTTTTCGAGTCTCCCACACCGGTTCTGTGCTAAGGATCTCACACACATGCAAGCCCACACTAGCCCCGTGTTGGTTTTTGCAAGCCAGCTTTAGTCGTGCCAAAGCAAGCAATCTCACACACAAAACATACGACATGCAAAGGCAACATTGCTGATTGACGCGCATGTATACAGAAATGCATACAACATGGATACCTGTGAATGTTTGATCTCTTGGTTTCTTTTTCCTTCAGACCTTCCTCTTGCCCCGAGCTCCTTGTGCTCCGTGCATTTTGCAAGGATCAACGTTTACTTCAACGAGGCAACTGGCGGCCGCTATGTGCCTCGTGCCGTGCTGATGGACTTGGACGCCCGGCGCAAATGGCGGAGACAGAAACCCGAAGATTTGAGGCAATTGTCAGGAGAAGCCCCTATGATTCACATGGCTGAGCCATCCTAAGCCTCCTATTTCTCCCAGCATGGGACTCTGGGCTCCAGGGAACTTTTCTTGCACACCCCAAGGGCATCGTGTTCCGTCCAACTCCCCTGGTCATGCCTTGATGACGCACACGCAGTAAAACAACACCTTGATACCGAGGAGCCGGGGACCATGGACAGCGTCCGCGCAGGGCCCTTCGGCCAGCTCTTCCGGCCGGACAACTTTGTCTTCGGACAGACCGGTGCCGGCAACAACTGGGCGAAGGCTGGTGACTTGTTCGGTTGCTCTTTGGTTAGAGCTCGGCCCATTTAGCCGTTTTGGACACGTTTGTCGTTCCCCCCCACCCCCGCCAACTACTATCTAGCCATTTGTGCAAAGCAAAATGCGATTGGCCCGCTGGAATCAGGGCCACTATACAGAAGGGGCCGAGCTCATCGACTCAGTGCTCGATGTGGTTCGCTGCTCTGGCTATTCAGGGGGACAGGGTGAGCGGTTCGCCCAAACATTTTGTAGGCCTTTGCTTCAGCTGCTATGTTTTCGTTGGGGGGGGCTTCACCATAACAGGGGGTTGCCCACAAGGAGAAGTATACTGCTTTTTTTCCTAAGACACTGAGACAACCCTTTCTTGGTTGGAACATCGCGGTAGATTTCCCGCTGACTAGCACGGTTTTTAAGGGAGTCAAAAACCAACATTTGAACTGTATTTTGATTTGCCCACTCAAATATCCAGAGGAGTCTTTGTTAGCGGGTGCGGGGACCTTCCCACAAGTAGGCGCAGTCGAATTTGTGGACAACATGTTTGAGGTACGGTTGATATTGCAAGCCAACCAGTACACTCAGCAAACCAGCCACACAACATGGTAGACTACAGTATCAGCAATCTATACCCTATCTTCTCCTGGCAGTGGCTTGGGGTAGTGCAACCCGAAGAGACGCCAAGGAAAGGAGGCCGAGGGCTGCGACTGCCTGCAGGGCTTCCAGCTGTGCCATTCCCTTGGTGGAGGAACGGGCGCGGGCATGGGCACCTTGCTGATCTCCAAAGTGCGCGAGGAGCGGACGAAACTGGAGTTAGCGCTCTTCGTTTCTGGAACTCTGGTTGCTGATTTTGGTTAAGACGTCATAGCCGAGTTGATGACGGACACTGATAAGACAAATTACATTGACAATATCTGAAAGTGAGGCAAACACACAGAAATTCACATTCTGCACAAGAAGGCCTGCCTCCAATCATGTTCCCGACATTTTAAGCTTTGTGGTTGGATATCAGATGCGTGGATACACAGTGGGGCCAACCCCTGAGGAGTATCCAGACAGCTGCTTGCCTCTTTTAGTAGAACCCTTGTGATTTGGATTTGTAGCTGCAGCAAAGATGCTCATGAATAGCCAAGGAATCATGGAGACGTTCTCTGTGATTCCCTCTCCCAAAGTGTCCGACACCGTTGTGGAGCCTTACAATGCCGTGCTCAGCTTCCATCAGCTGGTGGAGAATTCGGATGAGTCCTTCCTGCTCGACAACGAGGCAGGCTCTCGCATGACCAGCGGGCTTTTATGTATGGGCTAGGCAGCTGATGGCCGGATGTTGTTCTAATTCTGTTGGGCTTTTGCTTTTGCTTTCTTTGTTGCTTGTTTGCCATGATTGTTTGCCCATTTCATCCTGGAAATTCCTGGAAGGCCTTGTACGACATTTGCTTCCGCACGCTGAAGCTGACAACGCCAACTTACGGCGACCTCAACCACTTGGTCTCAGCAGCCATGTCCGGGGTGACTTGTTGTTTGCGCTTCCCCGGACAGCTGAACTGCGACCTGCGCAAGATTGCCGTGAACTTGGTGCCGTTCCCGCGGCTGCACTTCTTCATGACCGGCTTTGCACCGCTGACCTCCCGCGGGTCGCAGCAGTACCGTGCTCTGACGGTGCCTGAGCTGACGCAGCAGATGTTTGATGCCAAGAACATGATGTGCGCGGCAGATCCTCGTCACGGGCGCTACTTGACGGCCGCAGCGCTGTTCCGGGGCCGCATGTCAACAAAGGAAGTAGATGAGCAGATGCTTAACGTGCAGAACAAGCATCTTGGCGAGAAATTGGCAATCACGAGGCTGCAGTGGTTGGTACATATGTTGATAGTACGTTATTTAGCAACATGGCTTGCACGGGCATTCTGAACTTTGCATAAACTCATTGGCAGGAACTCGTCCTACTTTGTGGAGTGGATCCCGAACAACATCAAGGCATCAGTCTGCGACATCCCGCCGAAGGGCTTGAAGATGGCGGTCTCCTTTGCCGGGAATTCCACCGCCATCCAGGAGATGTTCAAGAGGGTTGCGGAGTACTTCACCGCTATGTTCCGCCGCAAGGCATTCCTGCACTGGTACACCGGCGAGGGAATGGATGAGATGGAATTCACGGAGGCCGAGTCCAACATGAACGACCTGGTCTCTGAGTACCAGCAGTACCAGGATGCCACGGCGGAGGAGGAAGGTGAGTTTGATGAAGAGGAGGGCGAATACGATGGCTAGAGCCACAGTGTGTCAACCGCCTTGGATTTTGCTCAGATAGGCCCGTGTTGAAAGCATCATGGTGTCCCACTGAGCAGTTTCTTGCACTTTCAAGAAACACGCCTTGAAGGTGAACTCCGGGCAACTGAACTGGGGGGATCAAAAAGCATTTGGCGGGAAAGCAAGGTGATGCCGCCTTTTCTCTAACTGGCGGCAAAGGGTACCTTCAGTGAAGAATGCCCAGTTGGCAGCTGATGAGCAAAGAGATGCTTGGTTCACCAAGATTGGAGCTATTTTCAATGACCCTGATGCGCTTCGTTCAGGTTTCGTGCGGCGAGCAAACTTGCGTGCTGTATTGTTAACATGAATTTTGGGCGTGCAAGCTGTGGCTCAAGCCTTTGTTGCTCCTTTCATTGCTCGCCAGCTTTTCGCGACAAGATGCGTGAGCTTGTGCACGTGCAGGGTGGACAGTGCCTCTGCTGCTATGTGTGCACTCATTGTCTCGGATTCCTCACTGCGCACGAGACAAACTGTTGCATTCCACCAAGCAGCCTGAATCTTAGATGGTTTCCACTACCCCAAACCCTGCAGATCCTTTGTATAGTGGCTGCATAGTGGTTGTACATCCTATTTAAGGGCCCCTCTTCAAGGTAAATGCAAATCAATATGTTATTGGCATTGCTACGTGCGTCAAAGCCAGCGTGACTCGATGTTTTTTCCCCAGATAGCTGAAAGCTATAGGGGTTCTAACTTCGAATAAAGAGGGGAAC